CTTCCGATCAATATAGGAACTACCCCCACACATGACAAGTCTTTTGAACTTGGCCATTATGTCCAACCACTCCTAGAAATTGTTGATGCATACCATAATAGGCACGTTGTTGAATGATTGGATATTCAATCGACACTAAACAGCTAGTTCTTTCCAATCTGCCATTTGTTTCATATTCTCAGGTTAAGATATTTTAACATGAATTTTTTCAGAAAAAACTCTAGTTTAAATGCATTATTTTCCACAATGAAATATAAATCAACATCTTTGGTTTAAACTTATTTTTACAGCCTTGGTAACTGAATAACTAGAATGTTTTCCAAAAATAGAAAAATGTAAGTTTTCCAATAAAAAGTTGTACCATTGAAAAATCTAACCGTTTAGATTTGTATTATATTTCATTCCAATGCAAAGGCCAAACCCAAAAGTTATAATATGTGCTACGGTGAAAACTCCATGACACAAACACCGAAGCAAATAAGCAGAAGGAAAATAAATGTATAATCTAACTAATTCAGAACCTACCTTGGAATCCCGGGCCTGCTAACCATACCAGAGCTAATGCCATGAACATCTGTGTTTGGTACAGCTCTTCCAGGATTTATAAGTGTTTGAAATGTACTATTCTTACCCCCAATGAGATCACGAATTGCAATTTCAATTATCCTCCCCCATTCTTTACTGAGACCAGTTGTTTCAGTATCAAATACTAAAACAGTAGCAGGGCGACCATACATTTTGTCCTCCGAAATTTTCTGGATATGACAATGCTGAGCAGGCTTGTATTCATGAAAATCTGACTTTTTGTTAATAATATTCTTCAATGTTTCAGCAGTACCATTAGGAATCCTTAGACTGATATCACAAGCGCCGGTGTTGTGTGACCATTGATTCCTTCCTTCTATTTTTGTTGCTAAAGGCTGTAAAAAGTATATCCTAGGCTCCAATTGTTTTCCAGGAAATAATTCAGCATGGGATTTGAGAACTCTGAAACTACAATTGCTCCCTACGTAGCTCCTTCTCTGATGAAAGTTTCCCGGCCATATGGGAGCAAAAGACATTGTGAGGGAAGATCGAATTCAGCAATAAAATCCTTCTAAAGAGAGGAGATAAGCTAATCTATAATTTCCAGAGACAGACTTCTACATTGGTTTAGTTGAAATGGTTCTGGAAAAGAGATAAAAGTTTATCAACTGTTAAGTGCAGTCTGTGGCTAAAAAATGGCAAGTTAGATTCATAACACATAGAATAGGATCGAATGCCTAAAAAATGGCATGAAATTAATGGTTAATATGTGTGTTGTCATTAAAGCATCAAACAAGTCAATTTCCAGTGCAAGGTAGATTCATAACACATCAACAAATTATCAAAGCTTGCAAATTTTCATTCTATAATCAATCCACAATCCCTAATGGCTATCCCATTAAGACCATGTAACACATAGAATAAGATCGAATGCCTAAAAATGGCAGGAAATTAATGGGTAATATGTGTATTGTCATTAAAGCATCAAACAAGTCAATTTCCAGTGCAACGTAGATTCACAACAAATCAGCAAATTATCAAAGCTTGCAAAATTTCATTCTATAATCAATCCACAATCACTGATGGCATTTGAGTTCATGTGCATGTATCGGTGAATTTACAAGTATGTGCTTGTATGAATGTCATCTTGCGTCCAAAAGTTGAAAAGGCTAGACAGGGCATTTATACACTAACAATTCATAAAAAATATAGCAGTTGTATACTTCATAAAATTATTGCAATATGTGAATCAAATGTTCACATTGCTTGATGTTTTTCGCAACCCAACTATGTTTTATAAACAGTTCATTCAGTCCTAGACTTCAGGTACCAAAGAAATCTAGGCCTGAAGCAATTTTTTTTCTTTTTTCCCCTGCAAATGTATGTATGCATTGATTTTCAATGCACATCTATGAAAGTTAAGCTTAGACCAAGAACCACAAGGAATCGTTTATCCAACAACACATCTACAATTGTAATATAGTAAAACAAAAACATCTAACTATCTAAGCCAACCAAATAGGACTTCATCAAAACCTAAAAAACTTGAAATAGAAATTATAGCAAAATCTGAACTCATACAAAATTTTAAAAAACCATGATCCTTAGGAATATTGGATAAAGTATCTAAGTCGTCAATGATAACAGCTAGAAAAAAGGAAGATTTTCATTGGGTGGTTCAGATATTCAAAACAATATACTACTCGTAACTTTAAGATGCATCCAAATTAAGGTGTGCAAATTTATTAGAAGAATTCTACGAGTTATTTTTCCACTTTAAGACCCTAGTACTTCCATAGTATTAAATGTAAGAAAAGTAATTGTAAACTGTGAAGATCACTTTCACGATGCACAGTGTACACCTCACTTGACAAAAAGACAGAATACTGCATAATACCCTCCGTACACATCTCAAGATAAATCATAGAATACATAAGCATCTGAATACTACACATCTCTTACACTGGATACAAACATGCTGTGTCAAGTTAGATTCAACAACTGTCCAGGATTCTTGATAGAATACACAGAATTAGTACAATAGAAAACCTAATCCCAACCCATTGTGGTTAGCTTAATTGTTGTAAGACCATATTTCTATTTAGTACATAGATATTTCTATAAGCAATATGACTGATTGCTGACTAGCATCAACCCTCAAACTCTGACGTCCAAATTTGGGGCAAAAATATAGGATTTTAAAAGTCAAGCACACTTGCAAAGAAACTTCAACAAGAATAATTTAACAGATTGGATAAATTTCAAAGCTCCATTATATGGTAAAGTCATGATAACTTACTAGATGGATAGTCATTAAAGTTTAGTTTATATCTTTGTTATACAAAGAAAATATGTTCAGAATTTAGATTATTATTCCTGATAGTCAAAGAAAGAATAATCATCAACAAAAAATTATTTAATATACTCAAAAATAAATAAAGCACAAAATTTCAGTTATTTATTCAGAAAGATACATAGGTAAGCATCATCCAAAGAAGGAAGAGTAATAATCACAACCATTAACCATAAATCAAGTTGTTGTGTTTTTGGTGATAAAGTATGACCAATGAAGCTCGCAATAACATTACAAACAATATGTTTTCTCTGAATATCATTAACTTGTATGATAATAATGAAAGTAAGAGCATCTTTATAGAGTCGAATGGATGAGTTTTAGCGAGAAATATAAGGAATATGCACGCAAAATTTATCTATAGGATGATTCAAGCACATTGAAATGAATCATCGGCTCGTATAATAGGTAAATGAATCATATGTAAGATGAATACGACATTATGTACGGATTACTACACATGGGCACAAATTTGACTACCTTTATTTAACACATCCCAGTACCTAACAATATGATGTTATATCTATCAATAATTATGCCATTGATGCTTACAACAACGATTATTTTTAAATCAATTCCATACTGCAAAGGATGCTTAATCTATACTACTTCAATGCAAAAATGTAATCGCATTTGCTGAATAGCAACATAGTTGAGAGGAAACAAACAAACATTTAAAGAACAGCTGCCTGGTACCACCAACAGCAACGGTGAAAGAGAGACTAATAAGTAGCCGTGAAGCCATGGTGATACACCCAGATCAATTCAACAAAAATCACGCCCTTTTACAAATCTCCCGCTCTTAAAGACAATGTCGTTTTCGCTTAGCTTTAAAATGAACCCTATTTTTCTTTTTTTTTTTCCAAATAAAAGAATTACGAATCCAAGCAGAATGATCCAAAATCTAATCCAAAAGCACCAAAAAAACCTAGCTGAACCACGCAATATTCGATGAAATGCCTCCAAACGCATGCTACATATATATCTGACTTATAAAGAGGATCAAACAAAAGGCATTCGGCTAATTTTAAAAAAAAGGATAGTTATTAATGGATTTGATCCAACAAAGAGGAACCTTAAACGAGAGGGAAGAACTTGATCATTTGAAGAAGCCAATGCCGGCTCTCTTCTGCCATACGGGCTCAAAGAGGGTGATTGAGGCTATAAGGCGTCGCAGGAGTTAGGACCGTGTCATGCGGATCAGGTTGCCAGAAACTCGAATATCAAGGAGGGAACGCGAATGCGGAGAGCGGCGGAGAGCGGCGGAGAGAAAAAAATAAATAAATTAAGCGCATCCCAGCTTCTCCGGGCATATCTGCAAGTCCAAAAAAAAATTTTTATAATTACCAAACTAATATTTAAATATATGTATTTATTTACTTAACAGTTTCAAGTAAATATTAAGAAAATTTATTATTAATGTATCAAAAATAAAATGTCTTTTATGCACTGATTTAGAGTAGTGTCGCTATTAAAATAGGAATAAACATGCAACTTTGGAGACATTCTTATGAGCTGTAAATAGAGTAGTCATATCTTCAAGAAAAGACTGTTGAATTTATGACATGCCTAAAAATATGTTGTTAGTGGATATATATATATATATTTCATGCTCATTTTTAATGACATTGCGTTTTAATGAAAGGTATTTTGCATAGTTTTTGTTGCAAGTACAAGAGATGGAATTTTAAAGAAAATGAGTGAAATATGAGCAAAACAGGGTCAATTTAAGCTAGGAAGTATAGAATGAACTAGTGGCGCCCAGCAGCCAGAATCAGTTTTCTTTAATATGCATTGAATTTGAACAAATTTTGAAGGAGCATCTAAAGTAATTCTTGGGGATTTCGTGAGTTATCATAAAAGGAGTCAAGAGAAGCCAGAAAAGAGAGTTCTTTGGTGGAGTTCTTTTGGTGGCTTGAGAGTTCTTTTTGTGAGTTTTTTTGGCATTGAGTCATGTGGTGAGTCTTGGTGGAGTTATTGTTGTTGTTGTGGGTGAGTGTGTCTTTTAGAGTGAGATTGTAAGGAGAGTTGAGAAATCATCAAAGGAATTTCAGAGGATTTGTTTAGGAAAAAGTTTAAGAGAAGTAATTTGTATTTTGTTTGAGTTTTGTTTATTGTGTGAACTTGAATTTTAATATAAATCATGTTTTGTTGTGTTATCCCCATGAGATCTGAGTAATTTTTTTAATCTTTCTCCTGACAATAAGAATTAATTTTGTGTAGGATTAGAATTGTTTAAGATTTCTCTTATCTCATACTTATGATGATTCATTACTTCGTACTTAATTTACATATTCAATCTAGCCAATTGGTATGTTAAATCTTGTTGTGAAGCTATAATGACCCGAGAGGGTAATGTATTCCTCAACTAGTAAGAATCACATTAATCTGGTGGGTGATAAGGTAGTACATTGGTTAGTGCAAATAGATAGGGAGATAAGATATGTGGGTGTAACTTGGTGTTTCTAGGGTGACATTCTAGATTCTTACCAATTTGATCTAGAGTTTGGAACTTAAGAACCAGTTAGTCTTAAAGAGAGGGCACAACGGATAATCTATAAGTGAAAGGCTAGAACCTTCTCAGCATAACCTTAGAACTAGGAACTTAACTCTAGGTTAGCCAATATTCTTTATGCACTCAGAATAATGTAAAGAATTGGATTGCTCCCATTTGTCACAAAACTTCATTTAAACCTTTAAACATTTGAGTCACGCATTGATTATGATCTCATCGCAAGGGGAAAGATTTTTACAAAATCTGAACTCCATTTTGTTTAACCAGTTTAGAAATACTTAGCATTTTGTTTAAGCTTTGAAATATGATTTATTGGATTTAGTTCCTTCTTTTTACACGTAAACTTGTGACCTTATTTCCTAAATAATTGTCTGGAGTTTAAATAATGTTTTACTAAGTTCATAAATGAATTTTCACCTCCCCATGGGATTGATATTTAAAGCTTAAAAAGAAAGTTCTTTTTATACTTAAAATGATACGTGTACTTGTGTAGTATCTTTAGTGTGTAAAAACAAATTGTGGAAAAAAATAAGGATTATTTGATATATAATATTCAATTAAAAATAAAACATTACAAAATTGCTACGACATCAAGTTTTTTTGCGCCATATTTTGAGATTAAAATTGAGGTAATTACACACTAAGAACGCGCACATCGTGTCAGGGATCACATTTTTGGCTTCGTTGCCAGGGAAGGAAGGAAGGACTGAACTTTGGACTTAGAAATTTTATTTGAACTGTAGACTTATTTTAGGAAAATCGTAGTGTTGTTTAAATATACAAGTGTTTGTTTTGTGAGTTAAAAATGTTTTAAAAATAATAAGAATAAATATATATATATATAATCCTCAATTTTTTTTAATATTGAGTGCTTTGTTTAATTTTATTTTTTAAACTTTTCATTTTGCATGCGTAGTTCGAAATATGAAGGTTTAATACCTTCGATTTTGAGTTAGAACTAACTATAAGAAAAAATCAAAAACAAAAAGAACTTCACAATTTATAAGAAATGGAGAACACATCACATAATAACATTGATAATTAAATTAATGAAAATGAATATCATTATGTACAAAGACCTTTACAGGATTATGCAAACTCTACAATAGATGAAATTCATTTGAGCATACAAACTCCTGCTGTAGTGGCTAATTCATTTGAGCTAAAACATGACATAATCCAAATGGTACAAAACAATCAATTTGGGGAGGGACATCATCTGAAGATCCAAACTTACATTATGCTGGTTTTCTAGAACTATGTGCTACATTTAAGTATGACGACGTATCGAACGATGTTGTTAGACTTAAACTTTTTCCCTTTTACTTAAAGGATAAAGCTAAGATGTGTTGAACTCATTAGCACCTAGATCTATCAGAACTTGGGGAGATTTAACGCAAAAATTTCTAGCTAAGTATTTTCCACCTTCAAAAACTGTTAAGCTTAGAAATGTACTACTTCATTTACTTAGTATGAAGGTGAGTCAATATACAAAGCTTGGGAACAATTTAAATAACTCCTTAGGAAGTTTACCCATCATGCTTTACCAAACTGGTTAACGCTTGATTGGTTAATTATTCAAACATTTTATAATGGGTTAGTGGAATCTCTTACATCTATTATTGATGCTACTGTTGAAGGTTTATTAATGTCAAAATCCTTGATGAAGCATATGAATTAATAGAAGAGATGACTACTAACAACTTTCAATGGCCCTCTTAAAGGCCAAACCTAAGAAAGTAGCCAGTGTTCAAGATACTGATGTGATTTCTATTTTGACATCTCAATTTGCTACAATATCTAGAAAGTTAGACCAATTCAGAATGAACTTATCTCAAACACCTCATGTGATTGAGGAAAACTCATTGGGACAACTGATTGATTGTTAACCTTCATTTGAGACTTTAAATGCAATTAATAAAAGACGCAATAATGTATATTCTAATTAATATAACCTAGGTTGAAAAAATTACCCTAAATTTAACTGAAATAAGAATTTTAGTGGTGGAAATCAGCAAAGGGAAACAATCAAGTGAACCCATTGGAAAACTGGAACAACAAAGATAGTACTAACTATAAACCTTCTTATCCTCCTGGCTTTATCAATAACCAACAAATTAAGGAGAAGAGGTTGTTTATAGAAGAAGTGGTGTTACAGATGGGGAGTCAATTACAAAGTCAGAGTGCTTCAATTAGAAATATTGAGAATCAACTGGGACAAATTGCTAACTCACTTAACGATATGCCTCAAGAAACACTTAGTAGTAACACTGAAATTAATCTTAATGATAAAAACAAAGAGAAATTTAAAGCAATCTAGTTAAGAAGTGGTAAAGAATTAGATATTAAAGTGCAAAAAGAGATTTAAGTTGAGAGAGAACCTAAGAACATGAAGAAAATGTTCCTGAGAATAAGGTAAAACCTGTCTCTCCAACTAAGATCAATTTAAAAGATTACCACCGCCATTTTCTTAGAGACTTAGACAACAAAAATTAGATCAATAATTTTCTATGTTTCTAAAGATATTTAAGAAGCTAATAATCAACATTCATTTTGCTAAAGCACTAGAGCAAATGCAAAGCTATGCTAAGTTTATGAAAGATATATTAAATAAGAAAATGAAGTTTACTGAATATGAAAATGTTGCACTTATTGAAGAATGCAGTGCAGTAATTCAGAAAAAAACTTCCTTAAAAACTTAAAGATTCATGTAGCTTTTATTATTCCATATACGATGGAATAATAGTACTAACTATAGACCTTCTTATCCTCCTGGCTTTATCAATAACCAACAAATTAAGAAGAAGAGGTTGTTTATAAAAGAAGTGGTGTTACAGATGGGGAATTAATTACAAAGTCAGAGTGCTTCAATTAGAAATATTGAGAATCAACTTGGATAAATTGCTAACTCACTTAACAATATGCCTCAGGAAACACTTCCTAGTAACACTGAAATTAATCCTAATGATAAAAACAAAGAGGAAGTTAAAGCAATCTTGTTAAGAAGTGGTAAAGAATTCGATATTAAAGTGCAAAAATAGATTGAAGTTGAGAGGGACCTGAGAACATGAAGAAAATGTTCCTGAGAATAAGGTAGAATCTGTCTCTTCAACTAAGATCAATTTGAAAGACTACCACAGCTACTTTCTTAGATACTTAGACAACAAAAATTAGATCAACATTTTTTTAAGTTTCTAGAGATATTTAAGAAGCTAATAATCAACATTCATTTTGCTAAAGCACTAGAGGAAATGCAAAGCTATGCTAAGTTTATGAAAGATATATTAAATAAGAAAATGAAGTTTACTGAATATGAAAATGTTGCACTTACTGAAGAATGCAGTGCAGTAATTCAGAAAAAAACTTCCTTAAAAACTTAAAGATTCATGTAGCTTTTATTATTCCATATACGATGGAATAATAGTACTAACTATAGACCTTCTTATCCTCCTGGCTTTATCAATAACCAACAAATTAAGAAGAAGAGGTTGTTTATAAAAGAAGTGGTGTTACAGATGGGGAGTTACAGATGGGGAATTGATGGGAAATCAATTACAAAGTCAAAGTGCTGCTATTTGAAATAATGAGAATCAACTTGGATAAATTGCTAACTCACTTAACAATATGCCTCAGGAAACACTTCCTAGTAACACTGAAATTAATCCTAATGATAAAAACAAAGAGGAAGTTAAAGCAATCTTGTTAAGAAGTGGTAAAGAATTCGATATTAAAGTGCAAAAATAGATTGAAGTTGAGAGGGACCTGAGAACATGAAGAAAATGTTCCTGAG